TCTCTCTCTCTCTCTCTCTCTCTCTCTCTGTCTCTCTGTCTCTCTCTCTCTTTCTCTGTCACTAATTATAATTTTCTATCTTAAGACAAGTCAACTCGGCATGTTTCCCAGTCTTTGTAATGGGTTAAGGGTAGCTTATACATGTGTAATGTCTTGCTCCAGAAGGTGCACGAGAGGTTCACATATAATATTATACGTTTTCGACATAGCTTGTCCTGGAGGATATCTAGATGTCCATTATGGTATATTAGAGATACGTAATCACTGGAGACGGCTGAAGACGTAGTGTAGATGCAAGTGGCGATTTCCTTTCATGAACCATCTTAATCGAGTTTTGTCTTCATATCTTTGCTTTGCCTTTGAAATCCTCCTCCCATACGTATCCCCGACTCCTCTTTCGGTCCTCGTTAAAAACGTTTTTAGACCCACCCTCTTTCAAGAACTACGCCCCTTAGTCGGAGCAGAGAATAATAATAATATGAGTCATGACAGGTGTTGGCGACTAACAATCAGCAATACCTCTGTCATTTTTTTCTATGTGAGACTGCTCGAGGGTGTTTAAAAGGCTCCACTGTTAGTCCTAATCATTTTCTTTCCCATCATCAGTAGTTTCTGTTTATCAATCTCACGTTATCTATTTGCGAAATGGTCGTTATTGTATCTATGGGCCTGGCTACACTACTAAAACATATACTTCTTTGTAGAAGCTGAGTAGGATATAAATAGTGACAGTATTGAGCGACTAACATAATAGAATGCCTATGCCTCTATCATTCTCTCTGTACGAGACTACCCTGGCCGGTAACTCGCAACCTAATACATGTACTTATATTCTGAACGGATGTCCATTACTTAAATGGAACCAATCTGTGTAATCAGCTGGGATCAGTTCGGGTCGGGAAATAGAGTTGACCGGTGCACACTATATCAAATAGACCTCTGCTTTTGTTCTTCAAATTTGACCTGGGTGTCCATTAGGGCCTATCCCATTACGCACTCAAACAAAAGCTTTGACCCCATAGTTCATATGACACGTCGCAGCCTTCTGGTTGGCTGCTGGCTATGATATTAATTAAACTCCCTCGATCGTGACCTAGAAAGAATATTTAATTGGCTTGTGTTAAAACAGTAGCTTTTGTCTCTCTGGTCCCAAATATCTCAAACCATATCTAACAAAAAACAATATCGGGGAAGTTTTCAGTGATGTTCCTCGGGTGCTGCTAAAACTAAGGGATATTTCAATTGCCTTAAGAAGAAGAAGAATAGGCAGAACCATATATCAAGGTTGTAGGTGGTTGGTGGGTGCTGTGTTGCGGTTTTCTCCTTCTTTGCTATCAAACATCTAACGTCGGTGTTCCCAGTCTTTTCTTTGTAAGTCAATCTGTAGTAACACCTTTAATCATCATCACTTATATGACCCCATTTGTGCTGTAAGTGGCGCAAAACTCTTACTAAAACTAACAAACAAGCAAAGACTCATGCTCACTTTCCTCTACAGGTATGCTTCGTGGTTCTCCGCTCTAAGCACATGCAGACGGTGACTAACCTGTTCATCGTGAATCTGGCGGGAGCTGACGCCGTGGTCCTGGTGCTCTGCTCGCCCTCCACAGTGCTGCAGGCCGTCACGGAGAGCTGGTTCCTGGGAGAGGCCATGTGCAAGGTCGTACATGTTTTTCAGGTGAGTCTACTGCCCCTTCATCCCCCCCCCCC